GAGTGTGGGGAAGGAAAACAGGTCAGACATGACAATTAGGAAGGGGGAGGGGGAGATAGATAGATAGATAGATATGGGGAGAATGCTCTACTCACCAGGGACAAATTATATATCCTAAAGCCATGAACCCCAAAACCTACCACCTCCTGGCACACCCTACCTACCTACAGTTAACACACAGTTAATCCCTATTATGGTATTATTCCACTGATTGAGTGTAAGACTCTCATAACCCAATCATTTCACCTCTAAGCTTTCTTGCATTGTCTCATACATGAGCTTTTTGGGGACACCTCACATCCAAACCATAATAATTATTCTTTTGATAAAATTTGTTAAGAATTGAAAAATATAGGGCAAAGGGCCAAGGGAGAGTTATTTAGAATGGTAATGACTTGAAAATGCCATATTCACCTTCTAACAATAGAAGTTTTTTTAAAGATAGAGTGAGAGAGAGGGAGAGAGAGAATTTTTCAATATTTATTTTTTAGTTATTGGCGGACACAACATCTTTGTTTTGTATGTGGTGCTGAGGATTGAACCCGGGCCGCATGCATGCCAGGCGAGAGCGCTACCGCTTGAGCCACATCCCCAACCCCTAAAGAACTGCTTTAAATAAAAAGAAGTAATCCTCTGGAAGTGAAGGAGTGAGGACTGGCACATGGAGAGTTTCTGGAATGATTGATAGGAGTGGTGTTAAGTATTTGAATGATTACTGAGAGGAATAAAAGAAAATTTTAACCAATATCTAAATGAATTTGGTGCATAGCTAAGCTTAGTTTATATGAATTTGTAGTGAAAGAAAACAAATCTTTTAAAATTTAGTCCTAATGCTACATTTCAATTTTGAGATTCAAGAGTAACATATGAAATCAATGAATGATAAAGACAAAGATTTGAAAGTTCTATGCTAGAAATGGGGCCTACATGATTTTACCTTTATATGTCTAGCAATTTGTTTTTTCATTAACTTGCATTTTAGTATTATAACTTGAGTTGGAAATATTTGGAGAATAGTTTATAAACAGTTGATTGGCCAAACTTTGAATTCCTCAACCCATAGAAAATTTGCATATGAAGAGTATTTTTTTCTACTTTTTCTGTTTCGTTTGAGCATGTTTTTATTTTTGCCTAGATCGTTTTTATCTCCATCATCTCTTATTTATTCTTATGACAAAAATGGCACTGAACATTCTGAGCCTTTGTTAGCTCAGGTAAGTTTTAGGATTTTTTAATATTAATAAATATAAATGTCATACTGGGAAGTAAATTTTAAAAATAAATTTATCCACTTGTTTTACTTTATGTATTTTTGTTTTTCAGATGAATTGCAATTATAATGGATATGTTGCAGGTTTTATAAATTCTCTTGTGACACTCAACACTTGTTCAGGACTCAGGTTGTTGATAACTTAAAGATATTCAATTTGCCAGTCTTTGAATTACAAATTAATTCTTCATATATGTTTTCTCACTCTATAATCACCTTTATATTTCAATTCCCTAAGGATGAATCAGAATAACTAATAAAACCACATTGGGACCCTAGCAGCATTGCTCCCTGATGAGAGGCTTTGTTGATACTGAAAGGATCTGCTGCTTATTGACTTTGATGAGTCTGGAGTATAGGGAGTGTTGGTCTCTCCATAACTTTTTTAGTTTGCCCGAATTCTGTTTTTGTCCTTTTTAAATTTTTTTAAAAAAATCTAATTTGTTATATATGATAGCAGAATATATTACAATTCATATCACACATATAGAGCACAATTTTTCATATCTCTGGTTGTACACAAAGTATATTCACACCATTCATGTCTTCTTACATGTACTTAGGGTCATGATGTCCATCTCATTCCACCATCTTTTCTACCCCCATTCCCCCTCCCTTCCCCTCCCACCCCTTTGCCTTATCTAGAATTCGTCTAATCCTCCCATGCCCCCCCTCCCCAACCTCACTATGAATCATTCTCCTTATATCAGAGAAAACATTTGGCATTTGGTTTTTTCGGATTGGCTAAAACTTCACTTAGCATTATATTCTCTAACTCCATCCATTTACCTGCAAATGCCATGATTTTATTCTCTTTTATTGCTGAGTAATATTCCATTGTGTATATATGCTACATTTTCTTTATCCATTCATCTACTGAAGGGCATCTAGTTTGGTTCCACATTTTACCTATTGTGAATTGTGCTGCTATAAACATTGATGTGCCTGTATACTTCTCTAAGATTTCATCTCACTCCAGTCAGAATGGCAGCTATTAAGAATACAAACAACAATAAGTGTTGAGGAGGATGTTCGGGAAAAGGCACACTTATACATTGCTGGTGGAACTGCAAAATGGTGCCACCAATATGGAAAGCACTATGGAGATTCCTTGGAAAACTGGGAATAGAACCACCTTTTGACCCAGCTATCCCACTCCTCAGTCTATACCTATTTCTTAATTTTGTACAATAATTGCCAATTGTACAATGCCTTAGAACAATAGACAGTTTGGTTCTGCATGCAATCATTTTTAGACATGTAGTATCTTCAGTTCAGCACACATGAACATTGGGTATCAGAGGAGAGTTAGTGTTTCAGAGAAAAGGTACCCAAGACTAACAGACCCTGCAGATTTGCTCTGAAAATCTATACACTAGAAGGGGGTCGCTCACCTGTGTAAGAACTCAAATCCATGCCACTATTTGCTTTTGGTAAAATAATTAAATATATTTGTAACAGAAAGCAAAATACATTGTGATGTAGTAGTCTGTTTCTGATATGAAACCTCAAAGACCAAAGGGATAAAGTTGAAAAACAAAGGTGACATTGAAATCTTAAAAAAAAAAAATCAAAAAAACAAATCTGGCCAAAATTTCTCATTAGAAATATAGTTTTGGTAGAATCATTTCAGACTTTCTTTGAATTATTTTAACATTCAGGGGAATAATGCAATTCAAAGATGTTTCATATGGAATTGAACCAATTGATGCTCTATCAGGATTTATACACATGATTTATGAAGAAAAAAGTAATCAAATTAATATTCCTCACTCGGGAAAAAGAGTCATTTATGCTGAGTCTGATGAACCACTGCATGAAGGAAAAAAAGCAATACCTGTAAGTGTTAACTCTTTTATTTCCACTTATTTCATATAATTTTGTTAAGAAGTGCTTTCAGAGCTGAATTTGTGACTTGCAAATGTTATCATTATTTTACTTTTCATGAAGGACTTGAATGACTGTTAAAATTATTAGAGAATGAATTTGTGTTCATTGGTATGCTTGAAAAAAGGGAGATGTGAATATAGGACTGAAAACATTAATTTTCCTACATGGGCTTATACATAAGTAATATAAAATATGCTGTTTCCTCCATTATAGATAATTTAGATAAAAACATAAGTCTTTGTTTCAAGAGAATTCAAAATGGAAAATTTTAGTGATTTACATAAGGTACATGTAAAACAAAGTGATGAATTTTTCCTCCACAGAGACCTATAAACTTGCCACAAATAACACAATAGGCTGTAGTGAACTGCCACTGATGGTAAACTTTAGTAATTTTTTTTCTAAACTAAAAGTAGTTTCTTAAAAATTGGTAGTAGAAAATGTGCCCACATAGATGGTTAGTAGGATAATTATCACAAGGATAAGAAAAATAATTCTCTAGATTATAGACCTACATATTCATTTTAATTATTACAAAAGTAAGATACCTAGATATATAGCTTGGAAAGTCTAACTGAAAACTCTTGCTATCACAATACTTTTTGAACTGTAATCCTCTGAATAGTACATAAATTTTCTATTTGTAAACTGGGCCTGACATTATAGTTAGCAGTTACACATTATTACCTCTGGATATAATTTCAGTACAATGTAAAGTTTCATAAGTTTCTCAAGACTCATGTTGTGTGTTTTTCAGAAAAATGAATATTCCTCATCATTATTCCCTCGGTATCTTGAATTGCATATTGTTGTGGATAAAAATCTGGTATGTCCTATTTTATACATTATATTTTCAAATTATTTGACATTTATCTTTAAGTTCAGTGATACTGTGAAAAATTCCATCCATTTATTTTGCATTTTTAATTAATCCATTTAAAAAATTATATGTAAGCAGTTTTTGTTAATCTATTTTGTATATAGATAGAATCTGTTACTTTTGCAAGATAAGCATCTTATTTCCTGAAGCTTGTTGGCTACTTTTTTTTTTAGTTCTTTTTAGTTATACATGACAATAGGATTCATTTTGATGTAAGTATAAAAGCATGAAATATAATTTGTTCTGATTCAGTTCCCAGTGCTTCCCCTTTTCCTCCCCCCCTCCTTATTATGTTCCCTTCCCTTGTTTCTACTGATCTTTCTGTTATTTCTTATTGTTTTTTTTTTTTTTTTTTTTTTTTTTTTCGTACTGTGCATTGAACAGAGGGGGCACTCGACCACTGAGCCATATCCCCATCACTATTTTGTACTTTATTTGGAGACAGGTTCTCACTGAGTTTCTTAGCGCCTTGCTTTTGCTGAGGCTGGCTTTGAACTTGTGATCTTCCTGCCTCAGCCTCTGTAGTCTTAGGGCTCCCAGCACTATTTTTAAAAATAATTGGCTACTTTTCTTTTGTCAGAGGATTATACCCTCCAGGAACGGATATGTTACAACTCCCTCAAAACTCTCAACCCCTATCTAATAGTAATATTTAACTGCATTAGTCTAATTGGAAGGGAAGTCTACACAACAAATATGCCACTTATTTCAAGCAAAGGGAGAAAACAAGTTATCTGTTTTCTTCTTAGTTCTAGATATATTAAAGGAAAAGAAAAACAAATGAACAAAATTCTCATATTGAGAATTCATGACTATACTTCAAATCTTATATAAATTTAGATTTTGATTATATATTAATCCATGAGGTTACATTTTTCCAAGATTGGTAAGAACTGAGGGCGTCTGATGGAAGACAATTTTATTTTTTTCTTGAAAATAAAAGAATAATTTTTTTTTAAAAGTTGGTGCGTGACCTTGAGAGAAGCTGGCCAAGGAATCCCAGATGAATTTCTGGCCCATAACTGATGACATTGATGTTTAAAAAAATGCAGCTTTTAAGAAGGATACCTCATGATTCCTACAGATTAGTATCAGCAATATATGAACTCATAATCCATAAGGAAATAATTTACTTTGAAAAGTGGTTAGCAAAACCAAAAGCAATGGATTTAATTTTTTTTAGTACCAGGGTTTGAATCCAGAGGCATTTAACCACTGAGCCACATCACAAAGCCCTATTTTTATTTTTTATTTTGAGACAGAATCTTGCTAAGTAAGATTAGAGCCTTGCTAAATTGCTAAAACTTGCCTTGACTTATGATCCACCTATCTCAGCCTCTCATGCTTCTGGGATTACATGCGTGAACCACCATGCCCAGAAAAACAGTGGATTTAGATCCACAAAACAATCAGATATTAAAAATTGAAGATACAGCTTATCAAATCTTTTCTTTCCCTATCTCTCCTATCTCCCTATCAATCCACTTCCTCTATTTTACTGATGTCTGTTTTATTTCCATAGGATTCCCTCACTTTCTCTCCCTTAGATTGTTCTAGCTTTCACAAATGAGAGAAAACATTTGAGCTGGGATCCTGCCACAAGCCTATAATCCCAGCAGCTTGGGAGGCTGAGATGGGAGGATTTTCAGTTCAAAGCCAGCCTTAGCTATGGTGAGGCACTAAGCAACTCAGTGAGACCCTGTCTCTTAATAAAACACAAAATAGAGCTGGGGATGTGTCTCAGTGGTCGAGTGCCCCTGAGTTCAATCCCTGGTACCAAAAAAGAAAAAAATAGAAAGAAAAAGAAAACTTTTGGCCCTTGAGCTCTGGGTCTGACTTATTTCATTTAGCATAGTGTTCTTGAGTTTCATCCATTTACTAGAAGATGCCATACATTTCATTCTTTGTGACACAATAAAACTCCAATGTGTATATATGCACCACATTTTCTTTATTTTCTGTTGGTGACACAAGCCTCTGTGTGGTGTAGCTCATGGGCTTTTTATCTGTCCTCATTGATGAAGATGGAATGTCAGCTGTGGTTGTCTGAGCTCCCATGCAGGTTGTGTTGGGTGCTTGGTCAGGGCTAACACTCCCTGGGAGTGATGAGCTCTCAGCTCTGGCGCTTCCTATTCCCCTTGTCTGCTGTGATGGGGAGGGGGTTCAGTAACTTCCAGATAGTAGTTATCTCTGCAAGTTTCTTTTAGACTGATCATTGAGATATGCCATCTCGGAGGTATTCCTGCTGGTTTTATTTGTTGCTGTCTGAAGTGGGGAGAAGCTGTATTGATTTAATTTCTTCTAGGGAGGCTGGCTAGCTGTGGTCACTGCAAAATGGTTGCCGTGCCCAGCATAGCTTTCAGAACCCAATTTGAGTTAAGCTGCTTGATCTTCTTCACTGTGTTTGCTTATCCTATCATGTTTTAACTTGGTCTGCTTTTCTTTTGAACTGTCATTAAGGGAGTTAGCTTATGTGCTTTTCGTCTTCCTCTTTCTTTTTTTGTTACTCCTTTTATCTGATCCCAACCTGGTCCAGATTCAGGGTTCAGGAATTTTGTTCTTATTTTCTTCCCTGGTAACCAGACTTCAAGTCTCAAACTGTCCAGTCATAACCCCACTAGGTAGTTGTTCTTTCACTGCTTCCTTTCTGGACTGTGAGGGGTTGGGGTTTGCTACTTAGATCTGCTCTGCCATCTTCCTCAATTCTTAAAAAACAAACAAAAAACAACTCCACCCTTTCTTGTAATCAAGTGGGGTTGAGGGTCATCAGTAGAATCCCTCTTGTTTCTGTGTACTGGCCTTTCCTGGATGCTCGGTTGGTCTAGCCCAAGGTGGTTTGGCCTCTCCCTAAATACTCAGTCTTCACCAAGGAACCCAGAATTGAAGTGAAATGAAGAGTCAGACAGCACTGTGACTGTGGAGTTGTGGGAAATGAGTCTAAGATTTAAATCCTGGGTGCAGTCAAAGTGCAAGAGCAGGAGCTAAGAGAAATGGAGAGGTTCCACGGAAGGTGGGGGAAAGATAGGCAGCTGCCCAGCTTCTGGAACAGGATTCCTACAGGATCTCCAGCTCTGTGGTCCATGGTCAGTTGTTTTTGCAACTTGTCCAGCCCAAGCCCAGGTTTGTCCCAACTCTGTAGTTGATGTGTTGTTCAAAATGAATTGGGGGAGGGGACCTAGAAAGGGTAGTCTGTGCCTACAAACCTCTCCCTGGAGAAAGGGTAGCCCAAATACCTCACCCACAATCATTGTCTTGTGGTCAGGAACTGAGGAACTCTAGCCCCAAGCTCCTGTGTTATGCTTATGGCCAGGAATGTGGCAATTTTGTGTCACACACTGAAGTCCATGGCCTGCTGAGACCAGCTCAGCATTGGTTATGTCCAAAGTCCATATTGCTATGGTTCTTACTGCTGAGGTATTATAGTGGCCTAAGACCACTATAATTGGCCACATGTGATGCCAACCATAATAGCCATAGTTAACCATAACCATGTGTTAGTATGTTTATAGTATGTGTTCTCTTACTGCAGTGGATTTATGCTAGAAAGTATTATCAAAAAGATTATTATTATTATTATTATTATTATTAATATTATCAAAAGATTCATGTCTTTTTGGAATTAAGCTTCTTAATAACCTATGATCAGAGAAAAGAGTAGAAACTAGAAAAAATATGTGTCCAGTATTAATATCAATTTCATAAACTCAGTTAAAGCCTTCATTGGCCATTAAGTGAATACTGGGAAAATAGGAATAGTGAGGATAAATAATCAAGACATTTATGTCAAGACAGTAGAAATAAAAGAAAAAGTTAAACCAAAAGAAAGTAGAACACAGGAAATAAGGTTAGGGAGCACAAGTTATGGATATAGAAAAAAGAGAAATCATTTGAAATCTGAAGTTTGGTACAGTAGAAAACTAATAAAATTGATAAACCAATGGTGAGATTAGTCAAGAAATTTATCCTTTTCTATTAAAAAAATATAAGAAATAAAAATGGGAAAATGAGTACAAATCCTATAGTCTATAAAGAATGTCAAGGGTTATGATAAGCATTTCTTTTTTGGTGGGGAAAACTTGAAGATTTAGATATGATGAGAAGAGTCCTTGAAAATTACAGTTTACAAGGGCTGATAGTGAGACAGGATCTCACTGAGTTGTTTAGCACCTTGCTTTGGTGAGGTTGGCTTTGAACTTGTGATCCTCGTGCCTCAATCTCTGGAGCCGCTGGGATTACAGGTGTGCATCACTGCGCCTTGCTGTTCTCTCACTTTTATTATACTAAAACCAGACACTGTTGTCTCTTACCTGGCTTCCTCATCTTCTTGTGAAGCTAGATTGGTACATGAATAGCTGTTTGAATTCATATCTCTATGAGAATGTAATAGACCTAGCACCTTGGTTACCATCTTGTTCCCAAAGTTAAGAGCATTGAACATTGCTACAATTATGTTATTGAATTTTTTTTTGTTATTAATGATGTATCATTATTTTCTAGATTACAGTTGGAAGGGATGTGATATATTAATTACATCCACCAGTTTTTAAAAAAAATTTTATTGGTGCATTATACATAATAGAGGAATTCACTGTGTTGTATTATAAGTGAACATAAACATAAACTCATTTTTAAAAATAACTTATCTTTTTCAGTTTGATTATATGGGCTCTGACGTAAAGACTGTAACACAGAAGGTCATTCATGTCATTGGCCTTGTTAACACTGTAAGTTTTAAAAAATTGTTTCATTTATATATTTTTTAAAAATATAGGTAATATGAATTAATGTGTATAGTAGCTTGCTGTGCCCTTGAAGACTTTCTGTAACCAAAATATCATATTAAATATGCTTTTATAAAAGTTCAATTGAATGTTCAAATTTACTTAAAATTTCTCATTTTATCTTTGACCCATAGATGCTTGCTCAGTTAAAACTGACTATCATACTATCTTCTATTGAAATCTGGTCATATAAAAACAAAATTTCTACTGTAGGAGCTCTTGAGAATGTGTTATTTAGATTTTTGAATTGGAAACATGACAACTTTAAATTTCATAATAACATTTCATATTTATTTGCGTAAGTACAGTGTTTTACATTTCATAATACTAAAGGGATAATCCAAGGTTACCTTATATGTTAATAAGGAAAATAAGCATGTTTCACATATATATGTTGTTCTACTAATTTGATGGATGTCATGGGATATGAAAAAACATAAGCTAAAGTCCTTGTCATCAAGTTAATATGAGATAAACTTAAAATTTTTATTGAAATATATGAAACTACCAAATGTACAATATTTGTAAAGTACTGTAATGAACACTTGAAATTTTGATGAGAAGGGAGACTGCATGTTATTACTGCCACAATAAAATTAAAAAACTGAGCAATAATGAAAAAGTAAAATCAAATAAAAGGAAATGAAATAACTAAAAGAGCTTAAGCACGAGCGATACAATTTCTTTGATTTCCTTTGGCTTATAAACTTTTACTCCCTGTTATATCTCTCCATTCTTGTCACTTATCTAATTAATTCTTATATTTTTATTTTCTAATGAAATGAATATATTAAATTATCATACTATCTAGGCTCTAATGTAAAAAATATCTATTCATCTTTAGTGACTAAGTTACAAATTAGGTCAGAGAAAATTGAATTTTTAGGCTGCAAGTATAAAGTGAACCAGAATGAAAACTATAACATTAGTGCAATGACATTTTGCATAAATTATTAAGTCTCATCCTTTATATTTCTAGATGTTTCAAAATTGATATATTGAAATGTTCTTAATGTTGAAACTTGGAAAAAAACTTTATTAAGCGTAATTGAGGGTAGCATGTTGTTTGACAACAGTAAATATTCAACAATATTTGCTATTATCTTTAGTAATACTACTTTAAATACACTTATGAGTAAACTTATTGTTTTTTAGCTTTGTGAAACATTCTGCCTCTGTAGGTATTACATTTCCAGGAAAAGTATGTGAAAATAATTTTGATGCAGGAATTGCTCTGGTATGTAATCATTATCTAATTTGCTTCCACTATTTTTATGTTCAAAATTTCCTAAGTATTTTAAATCATGAATAAATATATTGCTAATATTTTACAAATTCTTGTATAGCTTTTATATTAGTACTTGGGAACACTAAGATTAAACTTTAAACATAGCTTTAAAAAGATAATATTGGATAGTCCGTCTGCTCCTCAATATCAGATTTTTTTTTTTTTTAAAAAAAAGCATATTTGGTCTTCGTAAGTCAAATTTTCAAATTTTAACTTTTTGAACATTGGTATGCTAGTCCTCAATATTAATTATATAACCACTGCAATTTTAGGTTCATCCTTTAGTTTTGATTTTCTAGTTTAATTATTGGTATACATTATATACTATTTATTTTAAAAATTAGTATTTTTAATAGGTAATTAGTATATTATTGCATTATGTTTGGGAGGAGCAGAATGTTGTACTAAAGATCTACTATTGAATATTACTATTTTGTGAGGTTATGTTTTACTATGTTTATAGAATAATCTGACACTTCCTAGACACTTGTTTTTATTTCTCCATCTTTGCTTTTGTTTATCTCTCAACCAGTATTTGAGAAGTAACCATCAGCACTTGTTTGGATTATTGGTGCCATTGAAAATAATGTTTTTAATTTTTTTTTGAGGTCTGATTTCTAAAAATTTGTTGTTATTAGTTATGCATGATAGTAGAATGTATTTTGACATGTCATACATGCATGGAATATAACTTCCCATTCTTGTGATTGTACTTGATGAGAGGTTACACTGGTTGTGTATTCATATATGAACATAGGACAGCTAGGTTAGATTCATTCTACTGTGTTTCTCATTTTGACCCCCCTTAATTCCTCCTATTTCCCCCATCCAATTCAGTGAACTGATACTCCTACCTCTCACCACCTATTGTGAGTCAGCATTCTCATATCAGAGAGAATATTTGGCTTTTGGCATTTGGGGATTGGTTTACATCACTTAGCATGATAATCTTCATTTCCATCCATTTATCAGCAAATGCCATAATTTCATTCTTCTTTGTGGCTGAGTAATGTTCCATTGTATATATGTACCACATTTTCCTTATCCATTCATCTGTTCACATCTGTTCAAGGAACCTAGGTTGATTCCATAGCTTGGCTATTGTGAATTGAGCTGCTATAAACATTGATGTGGTTGCACCACTGTAGTATACTGTTTTTAAGTCCTTTGGATATAAACTGAGGAGTGGGATAGCTGGGTCAAATTGTGGTTCCATTCCAGGTTTTGTGAGGAATCTCCAAACTGCTTTCCATATTGGCTGCACAATTTTGCAGTCCCACCACCAATGTATGAGTGCACCTTTTCCCCACATCCTCACCAATATTGATTGTTACTTGTATTTTTTCTTTGAGTGACAAATTTATTATTTTAATTAGGTATATATGACAACAGAATGCATTTTGATTCATTATACACAAATGCAGCACAACTTTTCATTTTTCTGGTTGTATAAGATGTAGTGTCCTACCATATGTGCAGTCATACATGTACCTAGGGTAATAACGTTCATCTCATTCCACCAACGTTCCTGCCCCCATGCAAGCTCCCCAACCCTCCCCTTTGACTAACCACAGTTCCTCCATTTTCCAATGCCCCCCGCCTGCCATTATGGATCAGCATCCACTTATCAGAGAGAACATTTGGCCTTTGGTTGTTTGCATTGGCTAACTTCACTTAGCATGATATTCTCCAACTCCATCCACTTACCTGCACATGCCATAATTTTATTCTCTTTTAATGCTGAGTGATATTCCATTGAGTATATACACCACAGTTTCTTTATCCATTCATAAATTGAAGGGCACATAGGTTGCTTCGATGGTTTAGCTATTGTGAATTGAGCTCCTATAAATGTTGGTTTGGTTACTATAGTGTGCTGATTTTAAGTACCTTGGTTGTAGAGATGGGAGAGGTTAGCTGCTTCAAATGGTGGTTCCATTCCAAGTTTTCTAAGGAATCTCCATACTGCTTTCCAGATTGATTGCACCAAATTGCAATCATATATGCATATAGGGTAATAATGTCCAATTTATTCTATTATCATTCTTATCTCTGCTCCCTTTATTCCCCACTGTCTAGTCTAAAATACCTCTATTCTATCCACCCCCATACCATTGTGCATCTGCATATCAGAGAAAACATTCGGTCTTTGGTTATTTGGCCTGGCTTATTTCACTTAGCATATATTCTCCAGTTCCATCCATTTTCTGGCAAATGCCATAATTTCATTCTTTTTAAAGGTTGAGTACTATTCCATTGTGTATACCTCTGAGTTCTTGATTATTTCTTTTGCTGTGAAGAAGCATTTTAGTTTTATAAGAGCTTATTTATTAATTCTCAATTTTTCTTCTTGTGCCTTAGGAGTCTTGTTGAGGAATTCGGTTCCTAAGCTGACATGATGGAGATTTGGGCCTACTTTTTCTTTTATTATGTGTAGTTTTTCTAGGTCCTTGATCCACTTTGAGAAGAGTTTTGTTCACTGTGAGAAATAGGGTTCTAATTTTATTTTATTACCCAAGGATTTCTAGTTTCCCCAGCACCATTTGTTGAAAATCTATCTTTTCTCCAATGCATATTTATGGCACTTTTGTCTAGTATGAGATAACTGTATTTATGTGGTTCTGTCTGTATGTCTTATCTTCTATACCAGTGTATAATTTAAAGTCTGGTATTTTGATGCTTCCTGCTTTACTTGCTGAAGATTGCTTTGGCTATTCTGGGTCTCTTATATTCCAAATGAATTTCATGACTGCTTTTTCTGTTTCTCTGAAGAATGTCATCAGAACCTCAATAGTAATTGCATTAAATGTATATAGATAGTTCTTTTGGTAGCATGGCCATTTTTACAATATTAATTTTGCCTATTCAGAATCATGGGAGATCTTTCCATCTTCTAAGGTCTTCTTGGATTTTTTTCTTTAGTGTTCTGTAGTTTTTATTGTAGAGGTTTTTCACCTCTTTTGTTAGATTGATTCCCAAATATTTTATTTTCTTTGTGGCTATTGCGAATGGGATAATTTTCCATCAGTTGATTCATCACTGGTATATTGGAATGGAATGATTTATGAGTGTTAATTTTATATCCTGATACATTGCTGAATTCATTTATGAGTTCTAGAAGTTTTCTGGTGGAGATTTATGGTCTTCTAAATGTAGGGAATTATATAGTCAGCAAATAAGGATAATTTGAGTTTTTCTTTTCCTCTTTCTTCTAATTGCTCTGGTAGGTTTTTCAGTACTGTGTAGAACAGAAGTGGTGAAAGAGGGTCTCCCTGTCTTGTTCCAGTTTGCAGAGGAAATTCTTCCAATTTTTCTCCTTCTAGAATGGTGTTTGCCTTGGGTTTATTATATATAGCTTTTATTATGTTGATGTGTGGTCGTATCATCCCTAATTTTTCTGGTGTTTTGGTCATGAACGGATGCTGTAGTTTGTCAAATGCTTTTCTTGCATCTATTTATAGAATCATGAAATTCTTGTCATTAAGTCTATTGATGTTTACATTTATTGACTTCTGTATGTTGCACCAACCTTGCATGCTTGAGATGAACCCCATTTGAGTATGGTGCACTATCTTCTTAATATATTTCTGTATGCAATTTGCCAGTATTTTATTAAGAATTTTTTGTATCTATGTTCATTGGGGATATTGGTCTGAAGTTTTCTTTCCTGATGCATCTTTGTCTGGTTTTGGTATCATGGTGATCAAATTAATTTGGAAGTGTTCCTTCCTTTTCCGTTTCATGGAATAATTTGAGTAGGATTGGGGGTAGTTCTATTTAAAGTTCAGATAGAACTCAGGTGAGAATCCCTCTGGTCCTAGGCTTTTGTTTGCTGGTAGGCTTTGATGACATGTTCAATTTCTTTGCTTAAAATTGATCTGTTTAAATTTTCTATGTCCTCCTGATTCAATTTGTGTAGGTCATATGTCTCTAAAAATTTGTTAATGTCTTCCAAGATTTTCTAATTTATTAGAGTATACATTTTCAAAATAGTCTGATTATTTTTGTTATTTCAGTGGTGTCTTTTTCATTATAAATTTCAGTAAGTTTTCTCTCACATTATTAGGTTGGTTAAGGTTTTACCAATTTTATTTATTTTTTCAAAGATATAACATTTTGTTTCATTAATTTTTTGTTTTAGTTTCTTTATTTCTCCTCTGATTTTCATTATTTGCTGTCTTCTGCTGCTTTGGGTGTTGATTAGTTCTACTTTTTCTAGGACTTTGAGATATAATGTTAGGTTATTTATTTGGTGACTTTCTATTCTTTTAGTGAATGAGCTCAATACAATGAACTTTCCTCTTAGACCTGCCTTCATAGTATCCCAGAGATTTTGATATACTGTATCACTATTTTCATTTATAGTTAAGTAAAATTTCATCCCTGATTTCTTCTGCTATTCATTGGTCATTCAATATGGTATTATTTTGTCTCCAAGTATTGGAGTAGGTTCTATTGTTTATTTTATTGTTGGTTTCAGATTTCAATCCATATGACCTGATAATAATGAAGGTATTCTCTCTCTCTCTCTCTCTCTCTCTCTCTCTCTCTCTCTCTCTCTCTCTCTCTCTCCCTCTCTCCCTCCCTCCCTCCCTCCCTCTCTCTCTCTCTCTTTTTTTCAGTGTACTTGCTAAGAGTTTCTTTGTGGCCTAAGATATGGTCTATTTTATGGAGATCCATTTGTTACTTAGATGGTTTTCAGTCACTGATGGATTAAATTTTCTATATGTATCTGTTATGTTGTGTCTAAATTATTAATTGTATTTTGGGGTTCTATAGCTTCTTTTTTTGTTTGTTTTTCTTTAGAGAATCTATCCACTGGTGATGGAGTTTTGTTAAAGTCATCCAGTTTTACTGTGTTGTTGTCTATTTGATTCTTGAAATTGAGAACAGTTTGTTTGATGTATGTAGAATCTCCATTGTTCGGGGCATAAATATTTACAATTGTTATGTCTGGTTGATGTATAATTCCCTGAAGCAGTATAAAATGTCTTTCTTTGTCTCTTCTGTTTAACTTTGGCTTGAAGTCCACTTTATCTGATATGAGGATAATAAATCCTGTTTGTTTACAAAATCCATGTGAATGATATGTTTTTCCCATCATTTTAGCTTCAGTCTGGATGTCATTATCTATGGAGATGAGTCTTATGGAGACAGCATATTGTTGCATCTCATTTTTTAATCCAATCTTCTAGCCTATGTCTTTTGATTGATGTGTTTGGGCCATTTATATTCAATATTTTTATTGAGAAATGATTTTTATTCTATGTCATTTTGAGTTATTTTTGGTTTTTTAGTTTGAATTAGTTTCTTCTTTGATTGACTATTCTTCTAGTTGTACTTCCTCCCTTTGGTGGTTTTCACTTTTATGTTTCATTTCTTCATGTAATATTTTATTAGGTATGTTTTGTAATGCAGGCTTTCTAGTTGTGAATTCTTTTAACTTTTGTTTATCACAGAAGGTTTTTATTGCTTCATCAATTCTGTAGCTTAATTTTGCTTAGTGTAATATTCTTGGCTGGCATTCATTTTCATTCAGAGATTGGGTATATGTTATTCCAAGACGACCTCTTAGATTTGAGGTCTTGGAATAATATATACTGATTTCATTCCTTATACCATCTGTTACTTAGCAGATCAGGTTAACTATGAACATTCTAAAAACCTTTCTTTGACATTTCTTTCAGTGTGGTGTCAGTGGATTCTGTTATTAGAGCATCTTGATTTGTTTGGGATGATTTGTTCTTTTGCTTTTTCATGTTGTTTGTGTGTCTACCCATCTATGAATGTGGACTTGACATAGTAGTGTTTCTGCCTTGTGGACTTATAGTGTCCCTGATAGTTTCCAGTACCTCACCATTTAGGGTGGGTACAAATAATATCAACAACCAATGCAAACAATATACAGCATTAAACCAAATAGCTCCTGCTATGACATCTACAATGTTAATTGTCACAATGAACAGAAATAACATGATCAGTTATTGCCTACAATAAAACAGTAAGTTTGCAAAAGAGTTTACAATTTCAAATGGTGGATAGGGAGACAGTAGAAGTGATGTAGGTTGTAATGTTTATGAGGAAGAAGGAGAGAAGATAGAAGTAAAGAATTAAAGCTAGAATGAAAGAAAGAATAGTAGAGATTGTTAGCAGAAAAAAGAAAGAAAGAGAATGAAGGGAAACAGATTAGTGAGAGAAAAAATATACATAAGGTGAAAATTTTAAAAATTAAAAATAAAAATAAAATAATCAATCATCTTTGTCTTCAAAATACTGGTCAATGAAAAATAACTGGCTTCAAATAGGTAGAAATGAGAAAAAACAAATATGCATATGTATGAAGGTCCATGAATCATTAAGATCATAATTAAACAGAGGAAAAAAAAAAGGAAAAAAAGGATCTCAATGAAAAATTAAAGAATTTTTGTTTTTGGAGCTCAGAATATTATCAGCTTCCCTTCTCAACAGTGTTACACGGGCTTGTCTGGAATTTGAAGCTTGCCTCCACCCTTGGGGGCAGGGGTTGCTGGAGTGAGAGAGGTAATCTCATAGGGGAAACTCCTGGAGGTGGTTTAGGCCTAGGTAGGCTCCAGGCACTTTGATTAATGCCAGTTGGTCTGGAGATTTTAAATCAGTGCACCTCTAGGGCCCAGAAATTGCTGGTCCACACTGGAAGACTGCACCATAGGGATCTCCCCTAAGTTCCACTCATGTGGTGAACGAGTGAATTCTTAGGCCACTCTGTCATCTGTGGATCTCATGTTTCTTGGTCTCTGGTTCAGTCTGCAAACTCAATTTCTTCTGTCCCTGCTCTTTCAAATTCCCAGCCAGGCATGCCTCTCCCAGCCATTCCTGCAAGCAGCCATATTGGAGTGGAAGGGCAAAAGCAGGTGGGTTTCCACAACCAGTATTCTATGTAAACCCCTTTCCATGTTTGATTTTTCTCCTGGTTACATAAGTACACTGTATGTCTTGCAGTGTGATTTTGCCAGGCTTGTATTTGAGACCGAACTCAGGTTTGCTAGGAATTGGCTCCCCTAGTTGCCGGCCCCAATTCCTTGGCTGCAAAATGGTTCTTTCCTGTGACCTCTGCACACGGTTGGGAGAGATGCAGGTTCTTTCCTGCACAAATATATTGTGCATCATGCCTTTCAGTTCAATTGGGCTGTGTCTTTGACCCTAAACTCTTCATATCCAGACATGATTCGGGCTTCCTAAAAATGTGGATTCCTTTAATTCTCCCTTATCCCCTCACTTTGCTTGTGGAGGGACTGCTCTGGCTATTGCTTCCCACTGTGGCAGTGGAGGTGGCACTGGAAGTTTCTTCCTTATTTAATTATATCCAACTTCCAGA